GGCCGGCTCTCATCAGTGGCGCTGCCGCCTCCTCTGCCGCCTGCCGCGGGGAGGCGGGCGGGGGCGGGGCGCGGGCGAGGATCAGGACTCTTAAGTCGGGAGAAGTTTGCGCCCAGCTTCACAGCCGGGCGAGCGGAGGAAGGCGCCGGGAAGGTGAGCCTCCCGGGCTGGGGGGGGCTAGAAAGCCAGCCTGGGGAAAGAGCAGGTGCCTCGTAACCGTGATAAACCTGGGGCTGGGCTCAAACCATCACCTCGGGCAGAATTCAAGTGGCAGGACCTCGGAGGGGGACAGGAGAGGTAGGGCTCCAGACTAACGCAGTTTGCTCTCACGTCAAACTAGGAAAGCCAGCCCCGCAGACGCCGGGGCTCGCGGACCTTCCTGGCTCGGAGGGGTGCGCACGTCCGCACCGCACCCCGAGGCTGACATCTCCTGCCCGCCCTGGAGATGGGCGCTCAAGCTTGAGCTCCCGAGACTTTGCAGCCACCACCTGCAAACGCCCTTCGCCTCTCCGGAGCTGTGCCCAGCCTCCCAGACAGAGAATTCCAGGTAAGGAGGGTCTGGGAGTGAGGGGACTTAAAGCTTTGGGGTGTACCGGGATGGTTAACGGTGGAGGTGCGAGGGGCACCTGGCTTTTGGATTGCAAAACTGCAGTTTGGTTGTGGTGTTTGAGGTTCTCACGTAGGGTCAGATTGGACTCAGTCGTTTCACTTTACCTTTGATTAAAGAAAAAATAAGTGTCCTGGGCAGGGGCTACATTTTATGGTTTCGTCCTGAGGAGTCCTCTGATTTCTTATGACTTTTACTGTGTTGTTAATATCCATTTTCCCTCAAAAGTTCTATTCTCCAACTTATTGGGTGTGAAAATTACAGGGCTTAGAGTTGTGGGTTTTTTCCAAAAGGTGTTTATTAACTAACAAGCAGATGATATCGGCATCTATGTAAGTTGTCATGGTTGTTCTGGATATTGGAAATGAGTACAGTAGTGAATGGAGTTGCTTGTTAAGTCATGTTTTACAGAGAATTATTTTTCAACAATCATTTATGCATAGCAGTCATTCTTCACACCTATTAGGAAAAATATGTAGTGTGCATAGTTTCCAAAAGGGTACTCTTTTTCATGATGCTCTTTCCAAGCCTGGATGACAGACATCAAGAAAAGCTCTAACAAATTAATGCCTTTGCCAAAACATTTATTTTCCTTGAGGTCCAAGGCAATCCATTCAACGTCAAAAATCGGCAATACAATTAGATTTTAAGCTATCATACCAGCTTTATTTAGCAAATCTACCTAAGAAAAGTTCTATCTAACCTAATATTATGTGGTATATGCTGGACTAGAAAGCGTGGTTCCATTTGCCGATCTTCAGGAGACCCTGACCATTTCCTGGCTGTGGTTAACTTGAACTAAATCATCTATTCAAGACTATTTGTTGAAATTATTGAGTGATTGAGAGTGAAATATTCAAAATAAAACAAAGTTTGACCATGCAGTTTCTGAAGCTAATTTTTAAACAGCAGAGTGTTCAGGTTTGCCTGTATTTTAAATGGTAGTAAAAAGCAAATATTTTATACATTCGGGCTAGTTGGCTTACCGTTAAGGATAAAGTGAGAATTCTTTTAGTATTGTGGGACCTATAAAGTATAATTTGGAACAGCATGTTGCTAGCCTACTATGTGTTCAGTAGCTAAAGAATTCAGCTTTAAAGAGTTGGGATTGCTGGTTTTAAACACTAGCATTATGAGAGGAACTGAGATAATTAGATTTGCAAAACCTTTACAATTTAAGTCAGTATTCTCAGTGGGTACTCATTTCTACTCAATATTTTAACATAGCTCAAAACATCCGTCAGCCAGGATTTGTTTTGGTTCAATGCCTCTAACCTACAGTTAATTTTAGAAACTACAGTATGGTAACAAAAATAATATTTGGTTATATTGTAATATATTTTAAGATTATTTATTGACCAAACCAAGTATAGTAAACATGAAATCTTTACCATAACTGATTCAAGAACACATAATAATCTTGGAGTTGTATTATTTCTTGATGCTCTAAATTAGGGGAAAAAATAGCTGATATAAATATGGCTTCTATTTCCCATTTTCTTGTGTTTTTGGAATTCCAGATAATGAATGATGCTGGATAGATAAAGATAGAATTTGCTTTAACCAGTTGAAGAAAGAGAGATAAATATTAGTGTAGTTGTGCTATGGCAACTCTGTTCTTGGTGTACCTCTCTGAATCTTTCAATGTTAACATGAAAGAAAATGTTGTCTACTGTTGGTTTTTATTAGAGTAGAAATTAGTGAAATGGGAATAGGATACTGGTGATGTTTTCAATGATAACCTAAACCAGTGTTCTCACCTCAGGCTGCAAATTAGAATCAATGGGAGAATCTTCAAAAAAATATGGATGCCCAACCCTACCCCAAACCATTTAAATCAGAATATCTGAGGAAGGGGTTTGCATTTTGATATACGTCTTCAAATGATTGTAAATGCAACCAGGATTGAGAACCACTGACTGAGATGGTTTCCGTCAGATTTGTTAATGTTGGAGGGTCTTGGTGAAAATAAATGCTGTTTGTGGTATGGCCGGTCTAATCTTTTTTTTCTATGTGTGTGTGTATATATATATATATAACTTGGTTTCCCAATTAGAAAAAAAGAGATTTTGTTCTTTGACATTAGATATTTAAACTATACCATCTTCCAGGAAAAAAAAAAAAAATTCCCAGAAAACAAGGTTTTGAGTTTGAAGCTTATAAGGCCATTTAGAAAATGCTTTAGTAAATGAACTCTAGCTTTAAGAGATGTTGAAACTAATTATTTATAAAACACAGAATTACAGAATTTGATCTTTTGCTAAAGCCTGTGTGATATATAATGTGTAAATATGTACCCTTTGAAAGGGGAGAAGAAGGAAAAATAGTATCATTCTCCTTGGCACACCAACTATCATATCCCGGGTGCCCATCTTCACCAAAAAAAATTACTTTAAAAAACAATAGCCTTGTGAGGTACAAGCTATTATTCTGATTTTACATATGAGAAAAGTGAGGACCCATTAGGTTTGTGAACTTGCTCAAAGCCACAAACCAAGTAAATTAAAAATGTATTTATACCCAGATGTTCAATGATGTAATAAAATATATATTTATATACATATTTGTGTTTTTGAAAATTGAAAGGTGGCATTCATTTAAAAGCAGTAAAGGTTAAGAGCACAGATTCTGGCACGGCTCTGCTTGGGATTGACTCCGGGCTCCATCACTTTCTGGCTGTGTGATTTGGGCAAGTAATATAACCTCTTCATGCCTCACTTTCCTTTATAAGATGAGGGGTTTTGTAAATTGAGGGTTAAATATTCAACATCTCTTATTTTAAATATTTGTAAACCATTTGGGTAGATGCCTGGTGCATAGTAGGTTCTATGTAAGTTGTAATTTTTTAACGAAATTATTCAAAAAACCAATTTGATTGTTTATTGTATGCTAAGCATTGTACTAAGCCTGAAAATATCTAAACAAATAAGTCATATCCTTGTCCTCAAAGATTTTGTGTCTAGTAGAGAATGACCAATACATAAGTAATCATTCCACTCTGGAATGGGATTTTCTTCCATTTTAATTATTAACTAAAAGAGCCATTTTGCATGTGCTTTTCAATGTTAACATGATCTTCTATAGTACCATACAATGAGTGTTATAAAAGAAAGTGATAATATTTTGTGTTGTCACAATGGTATTAACTTGTTTTTAATTCTATTATCAAAACATTAAAAAATCATATTAACATCTGTTTTTGAGTTTACTTTATGAGTTTAGAAAACCAGTAATATGGAGAGGTTTCAGGTTTTTAAAATTTTATTTTAAAAGTGAATCACGGAATGGAACATTGGGGAAGAATCAGTAGAAAATGTCATTGGAATTGGTTTTTCAAAAACAGTGTTACCTAATTGGAATGTAGTGTTGTTTTTGTTTTTAAAGGAAAATAATTTTTAGGGAACGAAGAATGGATCAAGGTATACAGGTAAATGTCCCTAATTCGGGGCTGGCTCGGCAAGATATGCCTCATCGGAGCCGGCTGTGCTTCTTAGACTATGCCCTCGGCTCTGTTCAGCTGCCCATTACCTCCAGGGTACCGGTGGATACCTGAGGTATAAGATTCTGTCTTTATTCAGATGAAAGTCTCTCTCTATTAAAATTTGCAAATGAATTGGTGTGCTTTGTACTAGAATAGCACAGATACTCTAAATCTAAAGAATTATTTCTCAAAGAAATAAAGTACCTGGTTCAGGGAAATATCTCTTTCTGTAATCAATATTTAACCATTCCAATTCACTAAAATTTCTGTTTGCATGTGTATGTCTTTCTTCCTTCTTATCAAGTCTCAAGGCTACTTCCAATTTTTCCCATGGATCCTACATTTTTTTTCCTCACGGTATCACTGCTACCACCTCTAGTGTAAGCTTTTATTACCATTAACCAAGTACATATGTTTTCAATATTCAGTCATATTCAGTCTCTATGTGCTGCATTCAGCATTACACAACACAGTCAGATTTGTTTCCTAAGCTCCAATTTGTCCCTTTCTATTATTCAATTATTATTGCTAATAGTAATTATTCAGTGGTTACCCAGGGACTCCAAGACTTAGAACCCCTCTTCGGCCTGATTTGTAAGACATTTTGTGATATAATCCCATTCTATCTTTCCCATCCAAATCAGGTAGAAAACCTCAACAGCTCCCTAATTCCAGTTCTAAAGCCACAGTTACACCAGAAAAATTGCCTCCAGATTTGGAGTCCATCCTTCACTTTCAACCCTGTGCCTCTGCCTGTCAATCTCAGTTTATATTTTTCAATTTTGCCTCAAAATTGGTGTGTGTGTGTGTGTGTGCATGCGTGTGTGCGTGTGCGTGTGTGCATGTGTGTGCGTGTGCATGCGTGCGTGTGTGTGTGTGTGCAAAGCCATTGCGGAGCTGCTTTTCTTGGTTTTCATTTTTCCTTGCAGCCGTAGTGTCAGTCCCTGCCCTTTATTTGTCTAGGGGTTCAGAATTGAGCATTTCAACTCTTACCTTCCACCATCCTTCAAAATGTATTAATCATTCCCCCGTAACACATCTAACAAATCTCCATCTTGATAGCTTTACTCATATTTTAAAACTCAATAAATATTTACTATATAACTATTATGTTCTAGTCAGGGAATATTTTGACACAGTTCCTGGCTTCATGGGAACTGAAAGAGACAGACAAACTAACAGTTACACAATGGTGTGTTCTGTATGCCAACAGAGCGTTCTGGAAGCAGGAAGGGACAGCACCTAACTGGGCATCAGGGAAGTTTTCTAGGGAGGTGACCTTAATGGGGACATGATTCAGCATTGAAATGACAAGACAAAATGAGCCAGATAAAGAGGGAAAGAGATGAAGTGTGTTACAGGATGGACACAAAGTCCTGGAGGCTTGAAACAGCATGGTTGTCTGGGGGATTTGGGGAATTTTGGTATTTTGGTTGCCCTGAGGAGGTCTACAGGGTAG